ATGTCTCATTTACACGCGAGACGAGAACAATACCATCGCTCGGATTAGACAAAGACAAAGACATAACTTTACGATGGTGGGCCAGTGTTGACTACCGTATGAAATTTTACCCATAACAACTAAGAAACATTTTTTTTTTAAACAATTTTGTAATAAAATAAATTAATTTAAATATTCTAAATAATATATTTCGAATTGAATAGAATAGGTATAAAAAATAAAATAACTGGAAATATTTGGTTAAAAGGGTTTATATTCAGTGTAAAATCAAACTGCGCTGTGAAGCATCAGTTTTGTATACAATTGTCTTTTAGACTCTTTTTTATAAGTTTGTGTGGATATTTTACTTTTATGATACAATCTTATTTTTACGTATGTATAAATAATAGCATTTAATAATAAAAGTGAATGATCAACTTGTACTGATAATAAATAATCCCCAGGGTGTATTGCAAATTCTATTATAATTTAAAAAACAAATAAAAAAAAACTATTTTTTAATTTTTTTTATTTATATTTATTTACTTTTTTATTTTATATTTTTATTTTTTATTTTTATGATAAACATTTTTTATTATTATTATTTTGTACAATTATTATTTAAAATTGATAATAAATTAAGAAAAACAATGAATTAATTCTTTTGTACAAAAGTCTCCAGCACCAAGCAAGAAGAACGTTCAAGGGGTCCCTAAAAAAAGTGATCGGTCCAGCCCTAACAACTAACGTTCTTCCTATATTTTATTATTATTGGCAAAATGTTTAAAAACAGTATAAAGCATATTATTTCATAAATTATAAATTTTCCCACTAATGTGGGAAAACCAAAATGATTTTTTAATGGTAACACTGATTCTAAATTACAATGATCAGTGTTTTATTTCAATTATAGCCTTATTTACGATATTATCAATACAAAAACCATAAACTTACACGTGAAAAGTAATTCCGCATGATTTATTAATGTTTTGTGACCTTGAATCGCATTCTTTCACTACTCATTTACCCATTTTGGCGATTGTTACTGTCATGTGTCGCTATGTTCAACTCGGTTGACGCCACATTGAACACTGAATTGACGTTTGCTACGCATATGCCTGTGGACAGATGTGCAGTAGCAACGATTTTAGGCGGTAATTACTCATCTATGTAAGTATTATATCAATGGTTAGAAATATTTTTAATTTTAGTTTTTTATCAAATAATGGTGACGAAAAATTTTGTGAAAAATTATTTGTTGCATTGTTTGCTTCAAAATAAAAATACATGTCAAGGTCATATTATTATTTTTTGCAACTTTGTGACCCTCTCACTGCTTTATGTCACGCTCAAATCACCTGATTTTTTTAAATACACACTAATGTGTATGAAATTGACTCAACTTACCTTAATCTTACACGCTCGAGTATTTCTGGCCATCGATTTTTTTTAAACTAATCTGATGGGCTGCCCTAGACGCTCCCCACTATATGTATGGTGGAGGTACTCAACTGGGTGTTAGGTATTCCTTCTTATGTTAATCTGCCACGCTCGAGTAAATCCCGAAATTCCTTCCAGGGCTCCCCTACCTACTAAAGAGGATGAATGCGTGATCAACATGAGGTTGTCGAAAACGAATAGATTTTACACTTTAAAGGTATGGATTTATTATCCTCAGCTAAAGTATTAAGACAAAACTACCATAACATGCATTCGTCTAAAAATAAGTTCTAAAAAAGATTTAGACATAAACATCGATATAAAATAAGTTATCACTCACTTGAGTATGGATCGCCGAATCTCATTGTCAGTGACGTCCAATAATACAATCTTTAGGTAGGAACTTAAAATTAGTTTTCATACTAGATTTACGATCGAGACACCTTTTATAATACGGGCCATAATGTCATCTTTTTATTATACTTATAATTCCTTTGAGTTTCCAGCTGACTACATGTTATGGAATTATAATTTATTTTTACTATCATTTGTTTTGCTTATTTTACTTATATCCTTAGAACTATTAAAAGTTTAGAGAAGCCGCATTTTAAATGTAGTAAACTCTAAGACAGTTAAATTAACGGGAATAGGGGCATCCCGTGGTTATCCTAGGGTAATAATTGGGTGAACCACGTGGAATAAGTCTCGCTATGCAATCATTTTTATTTTTATGTTACTTAGGCTTCTGGCAATGGATAGGTGCTTGAAGTTAATGATACTCAAAAGTATTTGCAGAGGGACTTAACATACATCAGTATGCTCAGTAAATAAGGTGTGCGTTACCCCAACAAAATAATGTCGAAAATGGTCATTTAAACGTTATAGATAATTAGTTGCTCCCCTTCTGTAATTGTTAAGCACATTTTTAAATTTGTTTCACTTAAACTTTTTTAGTTATTTCAAAAAAACATTTCCTGCTGGAGTAACGTTTGAAACGTTACCGCAGCCAGACATTTTCTTTTTTAATTGTAATATTGAAATAAATGTTAGCTAAATAATTAGTTATCTGGACTAGGTAAATGTAACAACTTATTTGGTATTTGTATTTTCTTCGGCTGCGAAGTTATTTGAGATCCTGCTGGAGTAACGTTTGTGGGTTTGCTGGATCTCTGAAACGGGTAAGCAGATTGTAACCATCTTTTGTACATAACTTCTTAAGGATTAGTTTTAATTTGTTCGACAATAAAATAACAAAAATAATGGACTGTTTAAAAATTATTTAAATAAGTATGAAAACACTTCAATACGTCCTAACACTTTGAAAAAGACCTCTAAAGACTTACTTCAAACGTTATTCTATTGCTTGTAACTACCTTCAAATGTATACGAATTTTCGTAAGAATACTGTAAGTGACTAAAAAGTTATGATGAAATGTGGCTCTCCAGGTTCACGATCACAATGTGTGCGGCCTTTTTTGGCCACCGATAAACCTGTGTGTGGATATATAAACTGAATGTTATGCCAATAATTAGTTGTTTAGTTCAGTTGTCTACCTGTAGAATTTCAGCGTCGTATATATAATAATTTACGAGATAATTAAATAAAAGTCATTAGAATGTGCAAGTCCGTGGTAACCCGACCATGTTTAGGTGGTTACAAAAAAGCGATCACCCAGTACATTGCGCTGTCTTTTAAAATGTTTAGTGTAATACACCTTACGATTTCGGTACAGTTGCGTACAGTGTTAAATACATTCAATATTTATTCATTATTATTACCTATTATTTAGTTTGTTTTTTTTTCGTAATTGATCTTAAGCACTAGTTTCTTTACTTAAAATTTCTTAAGTCTTTTTAACAATCAACAGAAAATCTGCACTGGCCCGCTAAAATTATAAATATGTACATGTATGAACGATTCACCTGACTGCAATAAATCGTTTCATTTCTTTGATTTTTTTGTAAAGTTTATGTGAAGAGGTTGGAATTTCATTTGAACCCCTAAGACGAATCAGGAGGAGGCGACGGAAATGTAGATGTTGGGTTATCGTACGAGACCAACTGAGGCAAGCAATGTTCACTTCAGTAGACAGAGCAACTGCTGAAGTTCGTGATCGATTCCAACAGCTCAAAATCTAGCGCATAAATAAGCTTTTTTTATTCCTGCTGTAATGCTGGGCTCGGGAGAACTTAACCTAGATCAATAACAGAGAGCTCCAACATAAGCACGCACGTCTACTGTAAAAAAGAGCTTTTTAAATTTTAGATTATTTTTGATAATAAACAGGCACTCGATTTAATTTTAAAAATCTTTATATAATTGTCCTTGACCCAGCTTGAGGTATGTGTGTAGATTAGAGTGACTGTTACCTCTAGGTCACTAGCACTTATTTGCGTCTTAAACCACATATTGTCAACAGTGGTTATATTACAGTCAAAATCCTTACTTGGTAACCAGTAACCCATGTTAAAAGTATCTAAGTACCTACTTATTTCATTGGAAAACAGTTAAAAGTTCACATTTGATTAAAGGTTCTCGACAATAGCTGTTAGGGCTGACACTGGCCTGTTGGTCTAGTGGTTAGTGACCCTGACTGCTACGCCAGAGGTCGTGGGTTCGATTCCCACCAAGGACAAATAATTGGGTGACAAATAAGTGTCTGGGTGTAATTTATCTATAATATGTATGTATTTAGAAATATATAAGTGTGTTTATCAGCGGTCTGGTAACCATAGTACAGGCTCTGCCTAGTTTGGGATCAGACGGCGGTGTGTGCGATGTGTGAAAATATTATTATTATTATTCTCGTTAACATTCGTTGAGCTGATGGTAGGGTCCTTGACTTTTATGAGTTAGAGGTTAACTTTTAATAACATAATCACGTATTCACGCTTCGTTGTATTCTTTCTAGATATTATTTCCTTTTTTTATTTGGAAGGGTAATCCTAGAGGCCATCCATTAATACGTTACAAGTTAAGGAGAGGGGAAGGGATAGACCAAGGGGTGGGAGAGGCCCTAAGTTGCGTGACATCACATTTCAATACCAAATCACAAAATATATTTAAGTAAGTACCTACCTATTAAAACAAAAAAGTTTAAAATGTTTAATTTGATGTTGAGTTTATTAGACGGTTTATTACAATTCATCATAATGTAGTCGCATGTAAGTTGGTGCTACTTTTTTTAATAGTTAATTATTAAATGTGTACAGCAACATTTAAACAGAAATCATATCCTTGTATCTATTGAAAGAACTGAAGACATGTACTTACTGTCAAATTTTAAACAAAGGTACAATCAATAGCCTTTAAGATTCCACTGCTAGACATAGGCCTTTCTCCTATACCACTCTGGCCAGACTCTGGTATAAGATCTGTTTCAAGTTTTCTTTCTCTTTGGAGTGCTGTTGTCCTGCAGGGTTTTTGCTCAGTCGGCTCTTACGACACGGCCGGGCCGGTTACAAAGGGTTATGTCACATAAACACAGTAGTTGATTTACCGCCATTTATTTCTAATCACAGTGCTGAGACACTATAACACAGAGGACTAATACATTTCTGAATTAATTTAATTTTTGTATCTACTTCTTAGGTACAGCGTGGGAGTAGATGGTTTCGCCAACTCCGATTATGCCAATAATGCAGAGAGCCATAGTGAAGCGGTATAGAATGCCATCGAAAGGACCACCTTTTAAGAAGACTGGGACATCATCTTCCGTCTGAAATATGGCAAAATAATACATTTTGTAAAAAATAGATATTTTGTTTCATACAAGGTACACAAGTAGGTACTACGAGTATTAGTTTTTAAGTGTAGTGAGCAGTTGACAAAATAAAATATTAAAAAAAAAGAAAACGCAATAATTACGAATAAAATAAAAAGTATTTTATTGTAAATAAATGGTATTGTTACTGTATTTATAAACCTTAGTTACTGCAATAACATGACTTTAAACAGTTCCAAGATATAAGAGAGCCAATGGCTTTCATCGAGAGTGTTAATAGTGTTACTGTTATCTTAAAGACCAACCCAAACAAATTTGTAGATGTATAAATTTCTACTATCGTTTTTTTTTTGTTAATGAAAAATAATATGAATTATGTAAGTTAAGAATTGCTAATAAAAGACAACTTTCAAAGAATACATCAATTATATTTTAGCCACAAGCCTCTCGATCTATCAAATTGATGTATTCATTCAAAGGTATTAAACATCAAACATTGACTGTAATGTGATTATATTGAATTATGACCGAAAGCTAAATCAATACTCTGCTAGTCTTATAATACTTTACCTACGAGAAAACCTTTTATGACATTTGTGAGATCGAGAGATCAGAACTAAGTTTTGAACAAATTTTTATTACAAAAATTGACCTTCACGGTAGGGCAGCTGAAGATTAACCCTATTATACGTAATTATATGTATCTAACGACTAACTGAGATTCAAAGAATACTAATATGTTTTTAAAATACAACTTCCGCACTAGGAATATAATCCTGTGTCGCTGGGGACTTTGCAAAAATACATGAAATGGACACAGCGAATACATAATAAATATAACATAGACTCAGAACTACAATTTGTAGACCACACAAAATGTTGTCCCATGTGGGAATCGAACCCACAGCACATAGCGCTTTTGGAAGTGGCGAGGTGATGGCTTAAACCACTGCGCCATATTTGCAGTCATTGTGTTCCATCAATTAACTTAAAATTTGTTGGGTAATCCTAAAATTAGTAAATCAGTTAATATAGGCAAAGGTATTTGGTTAAAACAAAGACAAGAAAATGTTACCAATAAGATTAAAACCAAACATTAGTACTTTTTAAACATAGAGGAGCCATAAATTTGAATTGTGAAATATCTAAAAGGTTTTTTATGATAAGAGTGATTAGATAATATGATAAAGTAAAATACTTTGGATGTTGTCTATATTACATTTAAAAATCACACAAAAATAATTATTGATGAAATTGTCATTAATAATTATTATAACAACTTTCTTGTATTCTCTTCAGCAAATCTTTAAAAATATAAAATAATGTAATAAATGTAAAAACCTCATAGGCATCATCAATATGTATTAGTAGGGAATAATAAAAAAAAAACAAACTTCATTTTTATGGTGGTTATTAACTAATTTTGTAATACTGTATTACAATAAATAATATTTTTTTAAATTAGGTTCTTAAAAGATATCTTAAATTTTATTGGCTAAAATATACATAGATTTTTGTAATTCTGTGTGGAAACTAACAGGGCTCACAGTAAAATGGTATGTCAGAATCGAACCATCTAAAACATGGTGTTCCACTACATGTAAGTTTATTGCAGGGGACTCGGTTATAACCTAAGAAGGAAGGCTCCAAGAAAATTATACATAGGTGTATCCTTTTTCTTTATGGCAGTTTATACACAGTAATCTACTAAAAACAGCAGTATTTATAATCGATATGTTTTATTAATTATAAATACATACATATACGAGAAAAACAGTACCTGGAACTGTTGTTGCCTCTGGCGGATCTTCTCTGGCACAGGAGGGTAAGGGGTGTTGGTGCCAGGCATCAGGTTTCTTTTACCTGGAGCTGGACAGGCTTCAGCTACGCTTGAGAGTTGAGCTGTGTTGTACTGGATTGTCGGGGGTTCCACTCGTTGCAAAGCAATTGGTGCCTAGGAAGAAAAATCTTTAAAGTAAAAAAAGTCACCAAATTGGGTCCCAGTAAGGAAATGAATACTTACAACTGGAAATAGTGGACTTTGCAAGTGTGTTGCGGCTACAAGCCTGCCAGTAACTCTATTAAGTTGGTGATACATTTTGTCGATTAAATAAAATAAAGTTTAGTTAAACGCAAAGTGCCTGAAAATCGAGCGATTACGAAACAAGTACTTATCAGAGACGTTCTGAAACAGTATTCATTTATTTTTTTACATAGTCCGACTCTTTTCACTGATTTTATAAATCATAAAATAAATTTCATTCCATTTAGTGAATCAATTTCTCTTACAATTAAACTGATTTAAATTTAAATATATCTTTAAAAATTATCTAATAAATATTTTGTATAAGTTGTATTTTAACACACCTTCAGTCCAGAAATATTATTTATTTTCAAAATGTAAAAAAACTATGAGAGTTTATAAAAAAAACATGTGTGTGTAATTATCTTAAGCTGTGTATTGATATGATATGATTTAGTTTAAAATAATACAAATTAGATTTAAAAAAAAATGTGTTTTCTCAAACTTACCATAAAGTTTTTGAACGTAATGAGCAGCCATATTTTTTTGTATGAAATTGTCGCTTCTGTTCTTGACGTTTCTTTTGCGTATAGCACGTTTTTGAGAGAAGGTAAGATTGTGAAATAAACCAAAATAGGTAAATTAGAAAATAGTTGAAGCAAAAATTACTGTGTAATACGTTTCAAAAATGCTTTTTTAATGTACCTTTTTTTTAAATGTGTCAGGTCAACTACATATTAGAATTCTAAATTTGAATTTCCGCGTGGCGTGTCATGTTTAAGCAACGTTTGTCATTTATTTTAAAATTTCATCCATCCTACCCAAATCAGATACATGTTGGTGTGACTATTTATTTAATCAATTTATTTTAGCTACACAATGCAGATCTTCGTGAAAACCCTTACGGGTAAAACAATTACCCTAGAAGTTGAGGCTTCAGATACCATCGAAAATGTCAAAGCTAAAATTCAGGACAAAGAAGGAATTCCCCCAGATCAGCAGCGTCTTATCTTTGCTGGTAAACAGCTAGAAGATGGCCGCACTCTCTCAGACTACAATATCCAGAAAGAGTCTACTCTTCACTTAGTGCTCAGGCTTAGAGGAGGTATGTAAGAGTGCTATTTTGTTTTTACTAGGCATAGTACAAGTGAAGTCAATATTAATTGTAATTTTAAACTTTAGGTACCATTGAACCTTCTCTCCGTATTTTGGCAATGAAGTACAACTGTGACAAGATGATTTGCCGCAAGTGCTATGCCCGTCTGCATCCTCGTGCTACCAACTGCCGTAAAACCAAGTGTGGTCACACCAACAACCTGCGCCCCAAGAAGAAGCTGAAGGATTAAATATTGACTTTCAAATGCATTGACACCCCTATCTGTTCTTTGCTGTTAATAACTAAGCCCAAATTAATAAAAGCGTAACATCCAGTAAAAGAGTTCATATTAGTCTGCACCTGTCCTGAAAAAAGTCCTGTCTAGTAAAAAAAGTGTAATATTTGATGTAGTGAAATGAATACTTTCCAGTTAATCTTTGAGTTAGTTAACCATTTTTTTCATACTTGTGCATAAGACCTAAACTCTGAACATGACTCATCACACTACCTCACATATCTAGAATTTCACACTGCATACTTGAAAATACATACTGTTTTTTCCAGTAAGTAAACGTAAAGTAACTTACACAAAGGGTGAAATTGATACAAAAGTGGCATTTGACCGAAACTGAGAGCATACAGTATAAATACATGTATGTTATTAATTCAGTTCTATATTTGGGATTTGTGATACCTTCATATGTTGCATTTATAAAATAATAGCAACTACTGAAATAAGTGTATCAACCCTTAGTAGCAAATTATTGCCAATTGCTAATCCGTTATTGAGAATCAGAAGTTAGTGTGCACATTCACTCTTTTTATTCCTAATTTTTTCATTTTTTTTTTGTGTGAATGTGGTACAATATTATATATATATTGTTCTTGAAACATTTCTGCAAGAAAACAATGAGAATCATCTTTGTCTGAAATGCATGTGACTTGACAATAAGTATAATTTCAGCATTCAGTAATTAAGCCAACCTGTTGCAATCCATGTTTTTTACAGGGTGTCTTTAGGGACATATGTACTTTGTTACTTATGTTGAGCTTAACACAAAATTGAATTTAAATACCAGGAGCCCTCTGTGGACGAACAAGCACTATGGCACTTCCCAAAGATGTTTCTTTTGAGAAGTGACCTTGACTGTTCTTAAACACAGTTTTACAATAATTATTGCTCGATCATACTTGTCATTCCACGTGCAAACGTCCCAGGAGGCTTTTGTGCTTCTGGAAGGAGCTTGGTTGGCTCACCTAGTCAACCTTACTGTGGGTATACCTACACATAAAGAACCGAGTCTAAATGTGGAAACTGGAGCCCCTTACCAATACAAATATTCCGAGAAACAAAGGGTATACGAGTAGCTCTACTAAACCAAATAACCATTGATTAGCAACTATATCACAGGCACAGGCATATTGCATCTGGTATCCCATTAAGCTGTATGACGTAATTCATGTCCTTGTTCAGATAGTGTGGATCTAGATGTTGAGAGCTCAGTACGAGATATAATTAAGTACATGTTTAAATTTTCTATACTGACTGAACTTTATTTAACTTTATATTGCCAGTGTGGTAAAAAATGTGTTTCTTGGTGACTTGTTTTAAGAACTTAGTAATGATCCAAATTCCATTTGGATCACATATTTTAAAATTGCCTATGTCCAGCAGTGGATTATTATAGGCTGTTGTTGATGATGATGATGATGATGATGATTGTAAAATTGTAAGTATTTATCTATCAACAAAAATAACTGCATGAAGGAGTATTTTCAGAAAGTTGACTATTCCTGTGTTTGAAAGAATAATGCAAACAAACATTAAAATAAAAATATTATTTTAATAGGCACATTTATAACATTTCTTATTTTACAATTGCACAATAAATCATTTATTTTCATTCGGTAGTCAGAACCACTACATATAAGTAAAGATTTTATTAACATGACGATAAGATACATTTTATTAGGTATACATTTTTTATTGTATAGGGAGCAAACTAGTAGACGGGTCACCGATGGTAAATGACTACCGTTGGCCATAGAAAAACGTCTGAATTAGGGGTCACCTTACTCATACCTTATCACCGGTTTGCTGTGAGGCTGCGAATACACCGGTCACCCTGGCCTATGTGTTGAAGCATGGCTCACCCATATAAATATGTACATATCTCTTAAGAATGATGATAAAATCTTTAGATGTCAGAATATGGGTAAAAAAACATCCATAGAATCCAATCTCCTAATAAAACCATATCTTTAAACTACTCTATTCAACTATGTAGTTATATACTAAATAAAATAGGATTGTTAGAATAATAGAAATCTTGCTAACATGACGGAGGCCTCAAAATTTCAAGAATATAGAAAAATTATTAGTTTTTCAAGTTCATGTTTATTTTCAAATCGAATTATCACAATGAACTAATATCACACTATACACGTGATTAGTTACATTTGTCAACAGTGCCATATACATTTCACAAGATATTTACTAATTTTATAGAATCTTCTGTTTATAGTTTTTTTTTAATTTAACTAGTGACATGTCTTTTTTAATTACCCATATAAAAAAAAAAGTAAAATTAAATTTTTGTTTATACTTCTTATATTTAGCATTATACATATTATTACTTAATTTCTTATAAAATTTAATGCCTCAAACTTATTGATGAAATACTTTTGGGTGAACTATAAGATAAAGTAAATCTTCTAAATTCTAGTTGGACGGAATCAAATATCACTTAATTACATTTATACCATACCAAAGTGAACAACTTTTATTTTCGGTGGCTTGGGCTGTGCATTCACTGGAACAAGAAATTTTGATACATTAAATGCATTAAATCTCACAGCATGCTATTATTTTCGTGCAACTAGTAAAAAAAGTACATGCTTCTGATGAAGGAAATGCAAATAATACAAAACGTGCAATAATTAATTACACACAATTACAAACACAGTTATAATATAACACAGAATATTACACAATTTTTGGGCTGTTAATAATTATATTTGAATTGGCCCTCTAGGTCGACCATCAGCATTTATATCACGTAATATTGAATATTTTTCTCCATTTATATGGTGCAATAATTAATTCTACTTTTTTTTCATGATTTCAATAGCCGATAGCAGCTCATGATATCACGGAATGACTGACATATTGCTTCGTGCAACTTGATGTATTAATTTATTTACGTACTACGTTTTAACGGTGCCAACATGCGATTATATGACTGTTGTTAATGAAACATTAAGTGTAATTGAGTATATTTTGTTAAGTATACTATAATGAAACTGAAATTAATATAGAGATACTATAAGTAGCGGCACGAAACTTTAGCGGTGACAGTTACTGCGCAGAAGTCAAAAATCAGGTATCTTGTGGGGTAAGAGGGACGAAGGGCGGGCGTGCGTAGCGCCGATTGGCTCTCCAGTCGCATTACGTCCCCCGCACTGATACGACACGCCGCGTGCTTCCAGAGTACAGTCGCGTTCTGAGTTATATTGTTATCGCTGTTAATTTTTGTTGCAATAAATACAATACTCATTTAAAGACAATGCAGGTTGCAGCTATGAACAGAAGACATAAAAAAAGCGTTTTAAAATTATTTAACGTTACAGTCGTATGTTATGGTAGGGAAAGGACTGCGTTAATTGTTGTGGTATTTAATGCGACAAATCAAGCATCATTGTTTAGATAATAAACTGCTAAGTTGAAAACTTTCACAAAGTGAATTGCATATAATTATAGTTCAACAAATTCTGTTTTAATTTTTCTACTTCCTATAAACTTGTTAAAAATCCTGGGTAACATAATTTTTTTGGATATTGGAACTATAAACTATAATAATGACATACACATACACTCACGCATACACACGCACGCACACCACGCACACGCACAAACAAAGTACATTTTTTTAACATACACGTTTATTACTACTATTTAAGATTTAAATGTTAATACACATGGAGACCAATAATACTGGTTCAACCCAGTGCAGGCTCCCATCTCCTACAAGCACAATAACTGTCTGTATATATTCTTATAGCTTTTACCCGCGGCTTCGCTCGCAGTTTTATCTTTCGTAAAAAATATTATTTTAATAAAAAGTATCATATGTTACTTCTAAAACCTCCAAAAATATATGTACAAAGTTTCATGATGATCGGTTAAGTAGTTTTCACGTGAAAGCGTAACAAACAAACTTACATTCACATTTATAATGTTATATAGTATGATTACTTACTTACCTTTTGTACCTATTGTTGAGAAAATAAAGAAATTCAAATTTGACGACTCTGGCACGTGAACAACTTTCAGAAGTTACACTCTATAACATTAACTATTTACTAAAGTTAATATTTGCGTGCACGATAGTACCCATGCGCGGCTATCCCTTCCACGTTCCGCTCAGCGCTAGACTTACGTGCCGCTAGTTATACCAGATACTACCAACATTCTGTCCAACTTGATGTTTCATCAATTAAAAATTTACAAAATTCATTATCCACCTCGGTTATATAATTGCAATTTAAGTAGTCACAAAAAAGATTTTTTGATTACTTAATTGATTTTGTCTCGTTTTTATGGTCAAATCCGAAACTAGTAGTACTTGAAAAAAAAATTAGATTAGCAAGGCGGATAATTCACGTCGTAAACTTGACGTCGTGCAAAAAGGGCGTGCTCACAGAAATTGGGTGCAAATAGCTTGTGTTGGCATGCGTGCGTGTCACACTTCGACGTAGTCGAGCGTAGTACCGGCGGGCGACGCGAGCTGCTGCGGGGCCGCTCGCGGGCTGTAACTGCGCACTGACACCGACGACGACGACTCCTGCTGGTAAACAATGTTCATCACTTCAATTCAATCTTCATGCACTTATGATATTCTATATTTAATCCCCTGGGCATTCTCTACCAGCCAACCTTTAGATGGTGTAGAAATCTTGTATTTATCAGTTTTTAGGGTTCCGTACCCAAAAAGTAAAACGGGACCCTAAAGACCCTATTAATTACTACCCTATTATTACTAAGACTCCGCTGTCTGTCCGTCCTGTGTGAACCGTGATACTGGGACAGTTAAAATTTTCACAGATGATGTATTTCTATTGCCGCTATAACAACAAATACAAAAACAGACAACATACATGTTTTTTTTTTGCCGTTTTTATAGATAATGGTACGGAACCCTTCGTGCGCGAGTCCGACTCGCACTTGGCCGGTTTTTTATGGTATATGGGGCTAACGAGAAGACGTGTAATCTGCCTTTAAACACCTACTACTCAAGGTTTTGGTTCTCAGGTGACCTCACGTGAAATGCAAAGTAAGAATTGCTCAACACCGTTTTTCTGTGAAGCCATGGTACTATAGGTACCGGCACTGATCTGGAGAGCTAACCTTCACCTGCGCAGGAGTCGATTTTTGGGTCCCAGGATCTATTTTTATTCTATTATAACTGAGAAAAAATAAATAATAATAAATGGTTGTGCATGTTATTTTGCCATAAGTTCACGATGCGCAAAGCGATCTAACTAACTATACTCCGGTCGAGTCGGCCCCATAGACATAGAGAATGGACTGAGCCTAATCTTCACAAAAGTGACTACTCTCTAGAAAGAGACAAAGCGATTGTGCCGCTAATACCTGTCTCTTTTCTACAAACCTTAATTTTTTAACTGTAACTTACCCAGTGACGTGAAACAATAAGAATACTAGAAAGAGACAACTACTGGCCGTACATTCGCTTTGTCTCTCTCGTACTTTTCGGTCTGTATTCACTGTACAACTTAAACGGATGCCGAAATAAGCTATGGAATGCTTACTAATATTTTTTCATGTGTTTCAATGGATGTTTTAATGTACAGCGGCACTGCACTACATCTATTTCTAAGACATATTGTAATACAAAAGCTAACAAGGGTGTTTGTTTATGAGCATAGACGTTAATATATCATGTCACCCTCATTTAACGGTTTTGCATCCTATTTATAAATTTAAACTTTAATGGTGATTTTTATAGAAAATACAGCAATTTATTATTAAATTGGGGCCATTCTTTATAGAATGGCCCCAATTACGAGTATGTAATTAGCAATTTAAGATATTTTTCTAAAACTCGAAACTTACCGACGACACAACAGCTACGGTGACTGTATCTGAGAACTTGACTTTATTCTTTTCGACAGGACGACTAGTTTGTGTTTCAGTGCTATTATTGTCTATTCGATACGTTCTGTCATTCACACTGTAATTATTATTATTTTGGTAACGGTACAACGTGTTACTTCTGTCAACTGCTTCCTCTTGCAATTCTGTTTGATAAAAATGCTTGAAGTGGCTAGAAGGAAGTCTATCCCCATATGGTCGTGGAATTACGTCCACAACGGTCCGCGCAGGCTTCACCGGACTTTCGTTTATAGTTATTAAGCTATGTTTAGTTTGTTTATAGTTAGATAGCATATCCATACTATGCCACCGTGCTCCTTGAGAATTTCGAATAGGCTTTGGATAGTCTCGATCGTAATCCACTCTTGAGTAATTGTCGCGTACGTCCGTGGTCCAAATAGTGTTATCTCTTTCTAAATACTGATGTAAATTGGGTCTGATGCTATTGGTAGATGTAGGTTCTGCCTGGGTGATGGCGACTTGCATCATAGTCGGTAGGTTTGGTACTGATACTCGAGGTAATGGAGGCGGCTTAATTTTAACTGCATCCGATGCAGAGCTCGGTTCCTCTTCTGACTCAGAGTACGAGTGCGAGCTGCAACCGGAACAGGATTCCGAACACTCGGAGCCTGAAAAGAAAAATTATTACCATTGTTAATGTATAGAATAATTTTTACTGTATTATACAGTGACGGAAAAGACCTTAAGGGTGTAAAACCTCTTTTGCAAGCATCCAGCAGGTTTGCAAAAAACAGCATCCAAGCCTACCTTTTTTGTCTATCACTGGATCTCTTTGGACAAGGAGGGAAATAGAAATTAGTGAAAAAAAAGACGGGACTGTCACAGGGTGTCGATACGTAACTCATGCAGTTAAAACTGTAACCTTGATCTTTTAGATCAGATTAATATATTTGTTGATCTGAAGACCAATTCTCGTCATAACAGTTCGGTCAACGTTCGGTTTCGATCAACTTAACGATCTCACAATTGTCATAAAAGGTATTTTCGTAGTAAAATAGTAAAGTATTACTAAAACTAGCAGATTACCGATTCAATTTTCAGTTACAATACGATATAATCACATTACAGTCAACGTTGAATGTTTAATATCTTACTATGAAAATTCCTTTTCATGGCAGTTGTGAGATCAAAAGTTGATCGGAACTGAATTGAGACCAAACTTTTGTTACGAGAATTGGCTTTCTGGTCTATATATGTAACCAATAACGTAATATTTTACCTGCCCAGCTGTGTGCAGGAAAAGGGGAAGGGAGGCAACATAGACGGTTTAAAATAAGACGGGACAAAAATTACCTCCCGGCTGCAGGTGTGCGTGGTGTTGCGCAAGCGCCTTGGCCTCGCGCGCGAGCGACGTGAGGCCAAGGCGTGAGGCCGCCCAGCGCGTGTCGGTGAACAGGTCCCAGGCCGCCAGGTCCACCGCCAGGCTTAGAGCTTTTTCTACACGCCCCCGTCTATAATCGTAAATTCCGATTCGTAAATCAAATTATCTGAATTTACATTTATGATTTAAGATAGCGTTTCGAATAACTGTCACACGGGGAACGTGTTTTCGATAATAAGAGTATATAATATTTAAGTTATGAATAAGTATATGATAAGTAGAAGTAATTTATTTATTAGGGGTACCTTAACAGATGGTGAAAGAATTTACGAGCTAGATCGTGAACGGGCGGCGCGAAGCGAGTGGCGGCGGCGGTGAGCGGGGCGCGCGGCGCGAGGAAAGCGCCCAACGCGCCCTGCGCCACGCACTCGCCGCCCGCCCCGCCCGGCCCGCTCTCCGCCTCGGGCTCTGCGTCAACCGAACCACACAGCGATACATATTATTACCATAGATATATACGTTATCTATCCTAACGCACTTAAACACTCACATATGCACAATCACTTACACTCTAAACTCTAAACCATTGTTTTTAAATTATTCATTTTTGAGATTTGTCGGCCGTAGGGTGGGCCTGGACATCTGTCATACAGGTTTCGAGCCTAGTATAGACTCCAGCTCTCACTAAGGAACTTTATATTATTTCATTTTAATACATGTAATGAGGATACTCTGTAACCTACTGTACCTTATGAGAAAAATAAATGTATTATTATTATATACCATAAATTGCGATTGGTATTATTAAAAACAAATACAATAAATACCAATTAAGATAATCATCATCATCACAGGTTTGGCCTACTATACCATGGACTGGGAAAACGGTTTGGTATAGAGTTTGTGTCAAGTTTTCCTTCCCTTTGCAGTGCGTACGATACCCACGATGAATAGGGGTGAGAACACTACGTATTCCTCATCCGTCACCACACGGACAGAAGGTGGGACACGGATGAAAATTAGAACAGTTTCATAAAATAATAATTAATGACGTATATTAAACATCCGTGTCAATTACTTTTTAATGATGATTTTGTTAAAATTCACGATATATATCAGCGATAAAAATTAAATATAATATGGATAGAAAGGTCTAAAACGCTGTCCCTCCCCTTTACAACACAATTCGGCATTTTTACTTGTAAATGTTGGTAACAGTTTTGATGACGTTTTGACTGACGCACGTACGTACTGTACGTGTGTGCGTTTAATTGTGTGTATACATGCCAAGGCGTAGTTTTAATTGGCCTTACTTCTTGGTTCACAGAGTATCATTTTAACTTTTTTATTTGATCTGAGGCTCCACTGCGCCATCGCAGTAGGTGTATAAACACCATTCCGCGCAATCTATCACACTAGGGTCGCGTATCGATATCAATCAAAATGAGTGTAAATCTGTCAATTTAACATATTTTTTCCTTCTATCAGTTTCTTTTATAAACCATACTAAACCGTACACATTTTAATAGGCAGATTCCAAAAAGAATCGTTGAAATGATCAAAGACAAGAAATTAACATGCATTGATACTAAATCGTATCCTAACCTGTTTCGATACTGACCTGATTTTGTTCTTAAAGCTGTGCAGACTAGCTTGTTCATGGCCCAAAGACATTCTGTACCCTCCCTTTCCCAATCCATGGCACGCAGCAGCGCAACGGCATTTGTCGAACGTTTCATGCGTATCCACGCCTGTAATTATACCAATATAATTTAACATATGAGCCAAATATGAATCGGGTTAGATGTTAAATGACAATCTGCTGATTTCCGATATACATCAGTTATGTGCTTACCTTTAAATATGATCTTTTTGACTACAATGTAGTTAGCCCTTTACACATGTTGGGTAAACATAAAAAGAGTATAAAATAAGAGGTTCTGTTGGTATCTTCTAAAGACACATCCAATGTAACTGTTACTGTCTTGATATATTTTTTTATAAAAAAATTGTGAGTTGCATTTAAATTTGTATATTTTTTTAAAATGTTATTTTGTTACAAATACTAATAAAAATATCACCAAAATGGCGGGATAAAATGGTCTATCATATGAATTTTCACGGACACTCCTTGGGTGAAGCAAAGAGTTGTTTTATAATTGTACTTGGAAATTGAAATCCACTCAACTCACACTCAGTTTGTCAAAGATAAAACTGAACAGGGATTGATAAAAAAAGTAGCTGTTTGGCAGTTAATAAGGCCTTGAGAATATTCTATTAGTGAAGACTTATAAGTGGAAATTTAAAACCAATAAAAAATATAAAATTACGTATATAAATATAATAATCTTTAACTGACCCTCAGCACTATCAAGTGCATAATCACTAAGACTACCACTGGTAATTACCGTTATTAGACGTGGATGACAAATGTGAAGTAACGCAAGAGGCCCGCCAGAAAACGTACACAAAATCAATGGGCCATTCCTTGAAGTGGTAGACGTCAATATTTGCATACGTCGTGAATCCCTGGTAACATGAAAAATAATTTAAATTATTATTATAATCTTTAATATTAATGTATACAATAACAGAAGACACACCGAACTACGGTATAATTACCAACCCTGTATCGCGATATCAAAAGTTCTAATGCCGATTCACATATATTTAAGTTCCCAACATCAAACGTTGGGCCGCAGCCCGTCAGGCATGATCGGAGGACTTTCCCCTATTCTGTTAGAGGGACGTAACGCCCATTCCTCTAAAATAGTCTAAGGTAACTGTTTATTGTAACTTACGGTATGTAGGAGGTGAGTTCTAAACATTTGGAGTGATGATGAAGAAGGGAGAGGGCACGATCGAAGCACTGTAATCTTCCAGTTTCATCTGCTGCTATTATCAGTTCACCTGCCCAGCGCAGATCTGTTGCAATCTACATTGGAACATTATATTCAATTATAGAATCTATGACAGCAATAAATTTATTATTTAAAAAGGTATGATGTACTTATGTCGCGATAACTATTTAGTCATCACAAAATGAGCTGCTAATTACTTTTTCATTTTAATTCAGCTGTATGTTCTTTTAAAGTTTGTTACCTCAGCATTCCGTTCTTTATAAACCGATTAGAAAAATGTTTTTTCTGTTCATCCTTTTACAATTTCAAGAAAAAAATCCAACCAAAATAAAAGAATATATTTCATTCACAGATTACCCCCTAATACTCGTAGATACCGCATTATTGAATATTTGTTTCGATTCCAGGTTACCAAATTTGGCGGTATGCAAGGGGTGAAAAGTGATTCAAGTAAAAAATCAATGCTTTACAGGAGAACAAAAACAAGATTTAGAAATTCTAATTCGCGATCTAAGTGGGTTAGGTTGAATTTGAGTACCTTCTTTGTAGATAAAAACATTCACTTTCACTGAACATTTAAATTTTTATGGTAAATATTACACTTTTAAAATAATTCTTGAATAACCTGTGAAAGGTACAACCTTTTCATATCTAATACATGCTCAAATTGTGATAAATCATACAAGTCCAGTTAAATTATCTTGTACCTATAAGCTGTCTACATTAATATTTATTAAGTTAAAAGCTAAATTAATATTTAATAAGTACATACAAATATCTAATAACTCATTAAAAAATGCTTGTAGCACAAATTTGTTCAAGGAAATGATAAAAATACTACCACAAAGATGAGATTTTTTTACTTATCAATTTCCTGTTTTCATATTTTGGCTGAATGGTATCAGTTTGATAAAATCTTGGGCTTCAAATTTGGATTTTTCTTTAGAAATCAAGTTAAGATTTGTTCAGATTTTAATAACTGTAATTATATCGATATTCACGATAAATATACTGAAAAATAAAATGTGAAATTAATGTGAAATGTGAAATTAATATAATCGCACTTATACCACAAAGCACGAAAAATAATGTGTGCAGGACTTATTTATCGTGGTTACAACTTCAAATACACCTACATTTACGATATTTTTGCAAAAAATATGCCCGTTATATCACTTAGCACGCAATCTTCGAAACTATAGTAGATAAAAGAACACGAGTTAGAAAGAAAAAATGAAGTCTATTTCTAAATATTTCTATGTAAAAATCACAAAAGGGTACAACTCGACCTTAACACTCATCATAGAAGGCACAGATATGTATAATTGCTTTTTAATCACATATTTCACTGATTTTTAAAATAGATGAGCTTAGTATAAATATGTATCAAAGAATCCCTAGGATCTGTCTTCCTTGTCTTCCAATAGCCTTCTACGGTTTTTCATAATATGAAGATTGTCTTCTGTGAAGTGCCCTGAGCATATCACGCCAATTTTGGTAGAAAACCAATAGACAGTTGCGTCGATCTACATCTTTTACCACAATGATACGAAACTATTTTATACAAAATAATGAGTTCAATAGAAAAAATTCAAAGGATGACCAAACAAATATCGACCTATAAATCACAACACTATCGATACACGTGCTGTCATTAGACAAAGACAACTATTGTAATTTACGTAATGAGTGAAAGGGACCTTTCCAAAAGACATCAACGGGTGCTTAATTGTTATTTCAAATGCACCGAAGTTAAACTTCGGTGCATTTGAAATAGGTTAACGTGATAAGAATATAATTTACTTATCGATGAAATTTTATACTTTCTTTTTGATAACTGGAAGTCTTAGCTGACTTGCCACACCATTTCACTGTACAGGAAGCCATTTCAAATATATTTTGATATAAAACTATTTTAAATTGTCAAGAACTCGGACGTGCGTACGGGTCAACTTGGTTGTTACTAATGTCGTGATTCTTAGCGTCACGTCGCATTTTAGTACTTTTTTTATTCTAAAGTATGTGTTACGCGCTTTTGTAGCCCTGTATGCGGAACCTATTAGGGGGTAATTGGCGATTTTATTACAATTCATTGTGAAGCATTAAAGTCGGTTAGGTAATTTCTTGTTAAGCTGTTAGAAAGAAATCTTATAACTAGGATAGTAATATTTGTTTTTAAATGTATAAAAATATTCAAGTGAGAACATAAAATCGGCTGTAACTTGTAATTCTAAGTATAAACTGTACTGACGTCAACATTATTCTTGACCATTGGCTTCAAAGTGCCATTTACTTTGTTAGTAAAAAGACATTTAAAATATTATCGTACAAAACCAGCTCTCGTAGTGTGTGTCAAACCAGCGACGCAATGTACGACGTGTAAAGACCCGTCAATGCACGCAATTAAGAGTAGTGTGTCGCACGGCGATCGCCTCGCTATGCGTACAGGGGTAGACAGCGAAACGTGGGTCGCACTCTCGCGAGAACACGACAACTTAGTCGCGCGGCCTTCAGTGGCACTGACGTCATAGCGTAGCCATGCTAAAGTGATGCCATTCTGTAATTGAAAAATTGCTGCTTAGTTATAATCATAGAGAGAACACGGGGTACAGCTGTCTGTAATTGGCAGCAACAAAAGAGATGGATGCCCGATAGTTTGCATGTCCTGCGTAGTGTGTTTCCTTACTCTTGCGACACCCACAGGATGAATAAAGTGGTGAACCTCACCTTAATACATACATACATTGAAAACAATGAAATATACTACTGCGCCATCTAACGAAGGGACACCGAACTTCTAAACCTGTATTACTAATATTACTAATCCTGTATCGCGATATTAATAATTCTCATGCCGATTAGCATATATTGTTTTCATTATAATATGTGGAAGTCACCACATGGCTACTAACTTTTATATACCAATAAGTAGATAGGAGAATGTCTCATGAATTTCAGATATTAGCCTTAAATTGTTTAGCGTAATTTTAATTAAAAAAGAAATATGTAGTAGATGTAGCAGACTGGGGGTGGAATATCTTTTTTTTATTTTTTTGTGTATAGATGGCACCCGAGCAGGCAGCAGGTTTCCTGATGCTCACTCAAGAGTAAGAAGTGTGTTGCGGTTCTTGAACCCTATCCCCCCAGAAGTAGGGGAGGAGGGGTTTGGGACTCCTGCAACCCATTGCACTCAGTTAAAAGTAGCAGAACAATTGCTTTAAAATAGTTTGCTGTAAGATTGTAGTATTACTCTGGTCGAGCTGGTCCAAATGCCTGAAGCATGGCTCACCTACCATTATACAGATAAGATTTTTTTTACTTCTTTATTTTACACTGATACATTATATATTTTATATGGACAATGGACATGGATAGTCAACTACATTTTGGTATTAGAATCAGAGGTCAAATCTAACTTAGGGTAGTCTGTGGTGTACTCTTATAACACTAAATAATTAATAATATATGAATATATTTTTACTTATTAATAATGAAATACATTGTTATCATGGTACTTGATAACATATTACATATTTATGGCCTGTTGTATGATGTTAATGATGATTGATTTATTGCTAATTAATTGAATTTATTGCTATTTTCAATGAACTTTCATAGTAATAGACTTTGATACTTATGTATTTTATTACTGACCTTGTGACTAGTGATTTGTTCAACAATGTGGATAACATTGTCACTCTTAAAGGATAGTTCTGCTGATAATGTTTCGTTTTCCAACTGATGGTAGGCTGTCAAACTGACTTGATGACTGTAAATGAAATAAATATAAATAATTTAAAAATGAAATACAATCAGAATATTTAAAATCTGTCTGTAGATCAATTATTGATAGATGATTCCATCTGATCCCAAACTAGGCAGAGCCTGTACTATGGTACCTGGCTGCTGATAAACATACTTATATAATCCTAAATACATACATATTTTAGATTAATTACACCCATACATAAAACAAATGATTGTGCTCCTCACATCATTCTTTGTTTCAGGTGGGAATCAAACCCACAACCTCTGGCTTATCAATTAGAACCACTAACCACTAGGCCAAGAGGTCAGTCAATCAATTTAAAGTGAAATAATATTACACATTTATTTTTCTATGATTTTTATTTTCAAGTTTTTGTTTTGTTGATTTTAGTTAAAAAAAAGTATTAAGTATAAAGTTATTAAACATCCGTGTCGTGACGGATTAAGAATACGGAGTGTCACCACCCCTTATTATCCCACGGTTATCATAAGAGCCGACCAAAGGAGCAAACTATGCAGGACAAAAGCACTGCTATGAGGAGGAAAACTTAATACAAATCCTCACTATACCAACCAAGTGAGCCAAAACCTCCCTTCTAAGGAGAGTCCAACAGCGGACTATTAAAGTCTGTTGATGTGATTGATTAATTACTTGCAGTCGAGCAAGGCAATGACTTCATAAATGTATGGGGTCTACCAATAATGTCCTGGTTTAAAAATTGAATAAAACACACAATTTTTTATGAAAAATGCATGCAATTGATTTATTTGATATATAATTTTATGCAATTTATGTTTTAAATAATATATCGGCCAAATGACGCTCACGCCAAATTTCGATGACGCGGTGCACCATTTCGGCCGGTATGTCGGCTATGGCTCGTCGAATGTTGGTATTTAGGTCACGAATTTGTAGCTGGATTATTGCTGTACACTTTAGATTTAACGCAACCCCAAAGAAAATAGTCTAAAGGTGTTAAATCACATGATCTTGGTGGCCAACTGATTGGTCCATTTCTCAAAATTAACGACTCACCAAATTTTCCATGCAATAATTCCATGTTCACTCGAGTAATGTGAGGTGGTGCACCGTCTTGTTGAAAATAAAGGTCATCAATATCATCAAATTCCGGCAAGAAATATTCGGTTAACATCGAGTTATAGCGCTCGCCATTCACAGTAACAGGGTTTCCTTCGTCACTTTCAAAGAAGTTTTGGTTGGTTTTCAATTTCCAAGCGTTGGTTTAAAGTGAAACGTGACATGATTAAATGGCAAACCTTACTGAACACAAATGTCAAGAGACGTCAAAGATCCATCATCAAACATGGCCGCTATGAGCTGTCAAAACCAGGTCATCCCTATTGGTTGACCCGTTATATTATGTATCATAAAGTTAGTGTAATTTTCTATTACATTTGTTTAAGACTGATAAGCACTAGTGAGTTTTTAGAAAATACTAGCTGACCCGGCAAACATTGTATTGCAAAACAAAAAAAAAATAGGGATGGGTCACCCTTACCATTTAGGGGTATGAAAAATAGATGTTGGCCGGTTCTCAGACCTACCCGATGTGCACACAAAATTTCATGAGAATCGGTCAAGCCGTTTCGGAGGAGTATGGGAACAAACATTGTGACACGAGAATTTTATATATAAGATAAGTATTTACTTGAAAATATAGGTTTGTAATAATTACCCATTTATGCTATACAAATGAAGATTTGCATGGTCTTCAAGGACGGGGCTCCATGGAGCAGGCTCAGCCACAGTTACACTCCATACCAGCACTCTTGCACCAGTACTGAGCTCATTTGTAGAAATATACCTTTCTGTTTTACGACTGCTACCACCTAATTCTATATTCTGAAACCAGTGTAATTTGCTAATATTAAAATAAAATAACAATTTAGAGCATTCAAGATTTTTAAGTGTAATAAAAAATATATAAATTAGTAATTATGCAGAAGAAATAGAAAGTATTGAGTATTATGCATGCATTTAAATAAAATTCAAAAGTTAAATGTTCACCTGTATATGTGGGTCTCTATCTGTGATTCGACAAGGTAAGTTAATATTGTTCTTTCCAAATGTAACTAATGTGGCTGTCCGGTCACAGTGTGTGAGCAGGATGTGTGATTTACAAAGAGCGGCTGTAAAGTATTACAAAAAGTATGTTATATAATACAAATGCTAAAATTAATACGAAAACTTTTTCTGTTTTTAGAATGCTTAATTTTTATATGGTCATGATAAAATCATGTGACTCTAAATAGTGCAGGGGTTTTAGGCCTATATTGGTTGATACTGATAACTAAGTATCATTTCACCTATTTTAGTACTTTTTTTTCCAAATCTGGTTTTAAGTTGTCCTAATAATGTAGACATTTAAGTATTTACCATTCGAAACTGTCTGTCCAGATAATTTCCCAACAAAGTATCTATCAAACAAAATTTGTATAACATCTAACGTGGATGGCTTTAGTGTGAGGTAGGCAATAACTCCTGAGGAGAACACAATAGTTATGAGTGATTCGGTAGTCCATTCACAGGTGATTATGCTTTTTTCTCGAAGTTTTGATTCTAGTTGTCGGAGTTGCCGAGGGTGAGCAGCTCGCCACAAACCTCCTCGCCGTTCGCAGTAGCTTCTTTTACCAGAATCATACACTGTATCGTCTACTTTTTTTTTCTCATATCTGTAATGCATGTCAACAAAATCAGTTACTAGATCACAGTAAATTAGTTCTAACGTATTTGAAAGTAGATAATATCAAATATAATAGAAAAGGTTAATTAGAAGTAACACTTTGACACACTCTTGTAAATGTACACGTAACTATTAAATCAATAATGATGTATAAATAAGTATTTTATTTAAAAGGAAAGTTTGAATAAACTTTAAAACTTACTTAAAACTTTTGAAATCACAGTTTTTCACTTGTAAAGCTTCATCAGACGTGAGAAATTTAACATTGAAATTAATCATTATAAAGTATATTCATAATTGTCGGTAATATACATATATATATTTATAAAATAAATTATTTCTTCCAAATTTTTGTTGAGTCGGAAAACAGGTAAATAAGATATTGACACATAGCTACGGTGTGACCAGTTTTTTGTAATGATTGTATTTCTACGGAACTCCATATGACTGCATAGTATTTTCATTTCAAAAGATCTCTTAGATCGTTACTAGAAATATTAAAAATAAAAATAATAAACAAGATTGAACAGGCAAGATACTTTTGTATTAAAATTACATAGGACTGGAATAATTTTGTTAGTCATAGTAAACAAAATAAACCGCTTTATGCAGTAAGTGTAATGACCATGGTGGTTCCTTATTTCACAATTCACACCTACAAATGTACTATTATTATTGCGTACTTAATTTACACATAGATTAGATTTTTTACTGTAAATGTACTTGATATTACGAAGTCTATTGACAAATATGATCCTTTAAAATTTTGAAGAAATACTTAAATATTCTGTATTTTAATGATACCTATAAAATCAAAACTGGTTTGACAGAAATCAACTAAAGTTGGAATCAGACAACCATCGTGTAGTTTTAGTTGGTTCAATGCCAACATCCTACTGAATCTTTATCCCTTTTTACGTATCATTTTCGTTTTGATGGCATTTCGGGTACCACAGTTATTTTTTGAACTACTAACTAACTAACCAAATGTGTTAGATATACACAACGACGCATCGACGGTATTCTAGACCACTTTTTTCTAACGGTATTCTAACAAACTTTGACAATGTTTAGATTTTTAATATGTCTAGATAGAGCATCGCACTGCAAAAGAACTAAAAGTAATGAGCCGAGTTTTCGATATTAGTGTGCGTGACAGCTTCGTTTTACGCTGACGTCACGTTATTCTATTTTCTTAGTGAGCGTTCATAAATGATACTAGAAGGTCAATTCTCGTAAAAAAAGTTCGGTCTCAATTTAATTCCGATCAACTTTTGATCTCACAACTGTCATAAAAGGTATTTTTGTAGTAAATTATTAAACCTCCATCATTGACTGTAATATTATATCTTATTGTTATCGAAAAATGAATCGGTAATCTGCTAGTCTTAGTAATACTTTTAGTATATTTTAGTATACTTTTAGTATATTTTAAGATGAAATAATCTTAAATGATAGTTGTGAGATCGAAAGTTGATCGGAACTGAATTGTGACCGAACTTTTATTACGTGAATTTGCCTTCTGTTGTTGATAAATTTCTATATGCCAAAACGTCCACGTCGTTCTACCACATTTACACAACGCCATCTAGTCCCAAACTAACCAGCGCTTGTACTCCGGGTACCAGACAACTGATATAATACTTATTTTATGTAAATACATATTATACATAGAAACACCGAGACCTAATTAAACATTAAATGTTCATGCACATAAATGTTTGACCTGAGCGAGATATAAACCGCGACCGTTGGAATAGTAGTCTGTCACACAAACCACCACGCGATCCGGTCGCCGTGATCAACACTTGACATTTTTATCACACGGCACTAAACTAAACTAACCAGACTGACTTAAAGAATTCACCGAATGAATACTTAATTTTTTCCATATAAGTTATAATCATAATGACCTCACACATTTTACACACGGCCGTTTGGTGCCAAATTAGGCAGAGCCTGTGCTATGGTAACCAGACTGCTGATAAATACACTTAGATATATATTACTATATACATACATCATCATCAGCCTATCGCAGTCCACTGCTGGACATAGGCCTCTCCCATTGCACGCCACTTAGATCGATTTTGGGCTTCTCGCATCCAGCTCCTGCCAGCCATCTTGCGCAAATCGTCACTCCACCTGGCCTGTGGGCGTCCTACACTACGTTTGCCGAGACGCGGTCTCCACTCAAGAACTCGTTTTCCCCAACGGTTATCGGTTCTGCGGCTAATATGGCCAGCCCACTGCCACTTCAACTTGCTGATCCGGTACGCTATGTCGGTGACCTTAGTTCTCTGCCGGATCACCTCATTTCTGATGCGATCCCTTAGAGAAACGCCGAGCATAGCCCTTTCCATAGCACGTTGAGCGACTTTGAACTTGTGGACCAGCCGTACCGTAAGTGTCCACGTTTCAGCTCCGTATGTCATGACGGGTAGGACGCACTCATTAAAGACTTTCGTCTTAAGGCACTGTGGGATCGACGATGAGAAGACTCGACGTAGCTTCCCAAACGCTGCCCAACCCAACCAAATTCTTCTGTTCACCTCGTCCTCGAAGTTGTTTCTACCTAACTGCAATGTCTGCCCGAGGTACACATAATTTTGGACAACTTCGAGAACGGCACCGTGTACCGCAATCGGTTCCGGTAGTACATGTTCGTTGAACATGACCTTGGTTTTATCCAAGTTCATCCGTAGGCCGATGCGTACAGAAGTGTCAGCTAAGTCATTCAGCATTTGCTGTAGGTCCTGCAACGTCTCTGCCATGATGACGATGTCATCTGCAAATCGCAAGTGAGAGATGTATTCGCCATTGATATTGATGCCACGCCCTTTCCAGTGCAGCGTCTTGAACATGTCCTCCATTGCATTTGTGAACAATTTCGGGGAAATAACGTCCCCTTGTCTCACTCCTCGATGCAATGGTACGGGCCTTGTTTGCTGATTCTGTACTTGGACGGACATGGTGGCGGCTTCGTAGAGACATTTCATCACTTGGATGTATCGCCAATCTACTTGGCAACGCTGCAGGGACTCCAGAACAGACCAGATCTCGATCGAGTCAAAGGCTTTCTCATAGTCCACGAATGCTAGACACAGGGGCTGATTATATTCTTCGGTCTTCTGTATAATCTGCCGCACTGTGTGGATGTGGTCTATGGTGCCATATCCGCTCCGAAACCCAGCTTGCTCCGGTGGTTGGAATTCGTCGAGTCTTCGCGCAAGACGGTTCGTGATGACTCTCGAAAACAGCTTGTAGACGTGGCTTAGAAGGGATATGGGTCGATAGTTCTTCAACCTGGTCTTGTCACCCTTTTTGAAGAACAAGACGACCACACTCCTACTCCACGCTTCTGGAGTTCTCCCTTCAAACAGGACAGCGTTGAAGAGCTTTTGGAGCTCCCTTAGTACGGGTTTACCCCCGGCCTTCAGCAGCTCTGTTGTAACGCCATCCTCTCCAGGGGCTTTTCCATTTTTCAGCTGTCCAAGAGCCATCTCGATTTCGTCAATGCTAACTTCTGGCAGGTCTTCGGTGTAGTGACGTGTTAATGTGGCTCTAGAGTCCTCATTTTCGGGATCAGGTCGAGATGCATGCGAAGCGTATAACCGGCCATAGAAGCTTTCCACTTCCAAAAGGACTGCCGGCTTCGAAGCAACGACTTCTCCACTTTCTGTAGTCAACTTTGTCAGGTGGCTTCTTCCAAGAGATTGTACGAACACTTTTGACCCCCGATTTTGCTCGATCGCTCTTTCAATTGAAAGAGTATTGGAGCACCGGAGGTCGTGTCGTACCAGTTTACTGATCTCTCGGTTTAGAGTCCGCTTTGCCGACAAAGTGACAGGTGGGTTTTCACGTCGTTTCTTCATCAGCCCTAGGGTCCTTTCTGAAAGCTTCGACTTCCTGCCCTTACGCTGCATTTCACAAAATCTCATACCTTCTTCCCTGAGGATCTGAACCACATTTTTGAGGTTCTGGTTTACGTCGATTGTGGTTTCCACGGCAGCGAATCGGTTTTCCAGTTTTGACTGGAACGTTTCAGATCCTGTCATGGCTTGGAGCCGAGTTGGTCGGAGCCTGGATTTCATCAAACAGACACGTTCCGCCTTAAAGTTGATATTCAGAGAGCCCCGGACAAGTCGGTGATCACTACCGGTATTAAACCTATTGATCACTGAGACGTCTCTGAATATGTGCTTTCTATCCGTCATGATGAAATCTATCTCATTTCTGGTCATAGCGTCGGGGCTTTGCCACGTCCACTTCCTTTGGGGCTGTTTCTTGAAGAAAGAATTCATCAAAAACAGCCCCTCCCGTTCGAGGAAGTTGACCAGCATTTGCCCCCTATGATTCCTGCTTCCAAATCCATGGGATCCTACTACCGATTCGCCGCAATTCTGTACTCCCACTTTAGCGTTGAAGTCACCCATAACAACGTTGTAGTGGGTCTTAGTTGTGAAGTGGAGGGCCCTCGATATGTCATCGTACATATCCTCCACCTCGTCGTCCGAATGTGCCGAGGTCGGTGCGTACACTTGCACAACCTTGAGGCTATACCTCTCGGTGAGCTTGATAATGAGGTACGCTACCCTGTTCGACACACTGGAAATTTCCACAACGTTGTCAGATAGGGACTTATTTACTAGAAACCCAACCCCACCTTGGGATTGTTGGTCTCCCTCGCGGAAGTACATTAGGTGGCCTGACTCGAGGGTTATGGTGTCCTCCCCCTCTCTTCGGACTTCACATAGCCCTAGGATATGCCACCTAATCTTCCCAAGTTCCACCTCAAGTTGCGCCAGATGCGAGTCTAGCCGTAGCGTGCGTCCGTTGTACGTAGCCAGGGTCAGTCGGTTGTGGTGGCCTCCCGTAGCCCGGAGATTCTTCGCACCCCCTGCCCCGCCTTTACCGTGGTCGCCACCATGACCAGGAATAGCGGGGCCGCCGGGAACTGGGGGCCGTGGCCTTTGTTGCATCTGCATGGGAGGGGTTTGCCCATAATCGCCACGCTGGGCAGGCGGGTTGGCGATCGCAGGGCGTAGCTTGTCGCACCGGTAACGCTGCTGCCCGTCACCGGCCTGTTGTATTTAGCTACGCCTATTGGGATGGATATACCGCCATCGGTCGGTCGCCAGAGCCTCGTTCGTCGTTCAGCAGGATGCACCGCGGGCAGGTGAGGTTGGCTTGGGGCGAAAGATGGTGGTTCGCCCCTCACACCCCTATACATACATATCATAGATAAATAGAACCATACCCAGAGATAGAACAAATGA